CAACATAACAGACATGTCCTACCTTGCGTTGCATTCAGATTACAGGGCACGAGTGTCGCAAAAGTCTCATTGGTGGCATGGTTGGTCCCATTTTGCTGCAACGCGCCAGACAGGAGGACATGTTATGGCAAAGCACATAGCAAAAAATCGATGTTTCTAAATTTTCAATGTCACATAACTTGCATGTGGGGAGCAAGTGAAAATCATAACCCAAGGAGTTGTAAAGAAGAAGCTGAGTTGTAGTACCCAGTAGTGCTGGCTGCCGAACGTGACGTACTGCGGGGACAGGGTGTACAACATGATGTTGTTGGTCAGGACGATCAGCATCAGGATCATGCACATGAACAACAGGGCCTGGGGACGGGTCCGCTGCACTCGGATCTTGTACATCTGTACGGACAGGTCAGGATTAGTACTTCCTTATCATATTCCTTATCATCAACATGTCCGTATGATGTACTGCTCTAGCACAAAACCTGGATGTTACATGTTTCTTTGGATGATTGGTCAATGCTGAATCAGAATTTCGTCTGTCGCAGATTATATCTCTTCTGACACAATATTTAAACTATGATGGGATGTCATCCTTAGATATGTTGATCCAACCTTAAAAGAGATGTTCTGCCAAAGTGCTATGAACAAGACATTACAGGTTTTATGCAGGTACAGTATTTTCTGCTGACAATTAAGGTCATCATTAGGTCATTAACTTCAATGAGCAACATTTTCATTTTCACATACATGTACCTTATTCTTGATGTCAACTTTTGAGATTATTTAACAACCTCTGACAAAATTCTTTTTTGAGTCCATGTTTCATTTCATTTCATTTATTTCGAAACCTTTTAGCCCCGAAGGGCTAATCTTCCAAGGCTCAAACATTATAGCAATTACAACATAGTGGAAACATTTATTGTCCAACCCTGCTTCAGTAATGGAATAGTCTGGGAAGTGACAGATCTAGATGTTGACAGCAACTTAAATACTACCAGTATTTTGTAATCAGGTACAGGTAGGTAGAAAGACATTGTTTACCCTGATCCAGAAAAACCATATGCCCATCTGTTTGATCCCTGCCATAGAACAGAAGACCCAGTACATGATGATGGCTGAGATCAGGATATAGTCCAGGGGAAACACCTGAAAAAGTTCATTGCATTTATCTGTTAATGGAGAATTCACTCTCATGAACAGCTCTGGTGTTTGTCCTTTGTACATAGGATCATGACATGGTATCACTGTAAAGGGGTACATGGGTGACAAATAATTATAAGCTTTCCAATTACATACTATGCGGTTGAGTAATTTCAAGGCACTTTAGAATTGTCATAGTGGAAAGGTCCACTGTACACTGTTGCATACACAGTTGCCATGCCTATGTATACCTTCTGTGTGTTGACCATGACAATGTCTACAGGGTTGGGCAGTTGTGGTTTAGGGAGGGCATATCCCATCTTGTACCCCAGGCCATGCAGGATCCGGTCGATGCTGTCACGAGAAAGAACACAACAGTTTTATACATAATCATAATGAGTGAAAACTGTTGGCTGCCAAAGAGAAAACAAAACCCAAGTTGAGAAAACATATATCCATTAAAAACCAGGAAAAATCCAGATCTTGCAAAGAATCAGTACATTATGTTGACATGCTGTACTCACCATGACAGCAGGAGGGACACAAAGATGATGAGGGCCAATAGGATGAACACAATCCCAAACACCATCTGGAGGAGAAAGATGACCATGATTGGCACCGGTATACTGTATTTGTAAGGGTTATTCCACGAACAAACAAAATAAGATTGAGAGGACACAATGTTTTACACTAAAAGTATCTGTTCTTTAACTTAAGATTTATTTAACTTAGAATACAACCCCTTCCCCCTTGTTATTTTGTACTGCATTCTGTTTTATCCCTGCACTAATTATCCTGCAGTACTGCAATGAACAGCTAGAAAGAGCTACAGAACTACACATTTCCAGGCAATGAGTAGCTGCAGTTTTACATTTCAACACTAGGGGGAGCTGCAGTATAAGGTTAGTCCTGCACCTGGAAGGGCCTGCAGACGATGAAACACTTGTTGAGCCAGCTGCGCTCGGCTGACAGGAGATGACGCTCCCGACGACGCAGGAGACGGAGCTTCTCATCCAGGTCATCCATGTCACGGCGGTCACGGCTGGTCATTCGCCGTCCATCTTGGTACTGCCAACAGGAATGTCTGTTTAGTTACTGCATCAAGTCATTCCCGGTACATGTATATCCTTATTAACACTTTGCTTTGAGTAACATCACTACATGTCCTTTGGTTGGCATGTTCTGTCAGAATTCTAGACTCAATGCATCTGCCCTAGCGCAGTATAAATCAAACCCTTCCTCGGGATCAAGGTTGGGAATTCGAATCCCAGCTGTTTGTTTAACCTACCTTGACATGAATACGGTTCCTCCTCTCTTCCAGCTCTTCCCTGTCCTCACAGACCTCAAGTCTCTCTCTCTTGGCTGCCCTGACACCCTTGATCCAGGTAAAGGGCAGGGCAGTCATGCCATAGGCCTATACAGTAGAGAAACCAATTATATCGTACGTACATGAAGTAATGTGATAAATCCACATGGACTCTTAGATACATGTACAAAGCATTATTTATTCTATGATAAAAAAGATAAAAATCAAATTGAAATGATCATTAATTTACTAACCTGATGAAACACTTATCAAGTGGTGTGATAACTCAACAAACTTTGAACTTCTGAATTAGATAAGGTCATCTACTTTCTGCTTTCCCTCGTTCCAACCAGTCAGTGCCAGACAAGAAGTGTTAAAAAACGTGTTTAACATTAAAAACCATAACAAAGCTTCTAAACAGTCACATGTCTTTGTGACATCATGTTCTTACTGTGTAGGTGATGAGAGCCAACATCCCCAACAACGTCAGGCTACTGATGGCAAAGGAGATGGCATCTTCTCCATCTGTGAACAACAAAAAACAGAAAAACACAGTGAACAAATGCCACCATCCCATGTAGCACGTTGGCAGAATGTACTGCACCTGCTTTGATTGCTATAATGTATAATATGCATAGCACTTGGGGACAACCATTTTTAAGGGCGATTTGTGTATTTAAGGACATTACGTTACATCCTGTCCATAGTTTTGAAATGTTGTGTCAAATGATATCATCTGCAATAGGCAAAATCCTGATGCAAAGTTGACCAAACACACAAACTGTGAAAATCTGGGTTTTGTGCAGGTTCAGTGCAGCCGATATGTCTGGCAATGTGAAAATGTTAACTGTCAACAATAAATTTCCTCTCAATAAAGCAAATTTGAATTCAGAGGAGGCATTACGGTTTGATCCTAGCTCGTTGAAGAGGAAGTGCAGACGTTCCCAGTCAGTGGAGTTTTTAGCAGGAGGAGCTGAGAGTGGGGCCAGGGCGCTGCACAGAGAAATTTTAAAATAAGTTGTAATACAATAACGTAAAACAATAAAACAATAATTTCTTTATAAAAGTACAAAAATATGATATGAAATTTATGTATATAACATATAGGTAACAGACATTGTATGTCATCCCCTACCCAATGAGCAGAAGAATTGCAGCAACGATAATGAATGCCACAGTAAACTTGAGCGCTGCACAGCATCTCTGGAAAATAACATCATCATCAGTCGACAGTGCTACAGGGTGATAATTGATATAACCTTTCATTGGCTGATACGAAGTTTGTAATGTAGCAAAAAAATGACCTGACATATGCATCCTCCAGCTATATACTGTACAGTGCCTAAGGCCTAACCATATCTATTTTGCAACTGACAAGTAATAATTAATAGTATCATTTGTCTTCATTACCATAAACTGCATTAGCATATTGTTGACCTGTAGGTTAAAAATCTGCAAGAAAGTACTTGAAAAATCCGAGTACCTGAGAAATCAAATCTTAAATACAAGATTTTGTAAAAATCCAGATATGTAAAGTTTCATGCTTTATACCAAGAAGGCTAAATACAAGATTTTAAACCTCCTTGTTTATACATACTGGAGTTTGTAGTTTTAGTACCGGTATTATACTATTAGTTTTTGACTAGAGTAGAGTAGAGTAGACTCTTCTGACTATGACTACTATGAGTATGAGATTAACATTCGACCATGAGTTAACATGAGCTAACATGATTATTTAGTTTCCCTCACAACAAAGGTATTGTAAGGAACCCAACTGCCTGACATCAAAACCACAAGTGACAATTCAACTTGCCTTATTTGCATGTAAATGGTTCTGGGCAGGGTTGTACCAAGTTAAGGGGGCAGCACAAAACACAGCCAAAAGCTTCTTGTTTCTGATCACATCCTATGAATAAGTCTTTAAAAATCTTTTTTTAGATAGACACACACATAACTGTCTTTATGGTCTGATCCTTCATCACTGCTTCCAAATAAGTATCAAAAGATACTCTTTTTAGTTGTACCCCCACCCCTTCAATGTGGAACAGTCTAAGATGACGTAATGGAAACCAAACCTCCAGGGTGAATGCCAGTGTGGTTGCGTGTAGAAACTAACTCACTGTGGTTAGAAACTGACTCTGAAAATCCCCCACCCTCACACTTTGGCAAGAAGATATATCAGGGGGACTGTAGGGGAAGTTCTCACTGCAGGCCTACAGCTACTGGGGTACTGAACAATAACAGGTCTGTCTGGATAATACAAGATTGCTGAAAGACCAGGTAAGCAACAACAGGGCTAGAAATACTGGATGCATGTGCACCTTAGTGCACGCAAAATTGAACTGTGCAATTTTCTGTGGGTGCTTCTGTAGG